CTCGTGTTGCTCCCTGGCCACTACACCCTGCTTCCTACACTTCAACCTCTTTCCATTAATATCACGCTTCCTCTGCCTTCTCTTGCCCAGCTTCCTCCCCCCTCCCTTCTTCCCCTTTATCCTTATCCCCGTCTCCTTCCCGGCCTGCAAAGCCAGATAATCACCTATTGGGACTATCTAAATGCGTGCATGATGATTGCATTCACGCCGTGCATGATGTTTTCCAAGTGAGGGAGGCGGGAATGCGTATAGGGTATTTAGGGACGAAGGGGGGGGGAGGGCGTAGAACCCCCAACCGCACCCCACTCCGACCCCCTTGACTCCCTCCCCTGCGCGCTGCCAGGCGCAAGTTTATCCTTGCAGCTGCTGTATTATGCGAATCTGAGATTCGATTGCGTCTTAATCGAAGGAACGAAAGCAGGAAACGAATCGACGGCGTGTGCTTCAGGCGAGCAAGAGATAGTGCGTGTCGAAGGGCTTCATCGGCAGGATTTAATCGAGAGCTCGCGGGCAGGCGATGCATGACGTCAGCGAAGCTCAAAATACTGTTTGGTGTTGTGGTGAAGCATTTGCTCGGTGTGCGGGGGGGGGGGGGGTCTGTGTGCGTATGTTTGTGAGTGTGTCTGTGTGTATTTGCGTTGCATGCACGCTGGGTCAGATGGTGCATGACCTCAAAGAGGAGAAAAAATATCGACTGCGCACAACTGTGATAGGGCAACATGCAGTCCCAGCAACATGTTCATTAGTGGGTTTCTTTATCAGTGTGGCTCTGCGTACAGTAAACAAGGACGAGGCAAGTTTTTTTTTATCCGTATCTCGTTCCTGGTCGATTATATATTTGTTATCAGTTAGCAGTGAGTAAGTGTCTGTTAGGTAATACTATTGTGGGAAAAAAGGCGAAAATGAGGACGACACACAACACTATATTATTAACATCGCTGTTATTGTTATTATGTCATTTTATTTTGCTAATATTAATTTTCATGTATATTACTCTTACGTGTGAATATGTGTCTCTGTGTATGCATGAATATGTTTATGTATATATTATAGCAGGCAGGCAGGCAGGCAGGCAGGCAGGCAGGCAGGCAGGCAGGCAGGCAGGCAGGCAGGCAGGCAGGCAGGCAGGCTGGCTGGCAGGCTGACAAGGAAGCAAGCAGAGCAGCATTTATTTGCCTATCCTTAACTGAAATGTCGCAGGACTTTCATGGTCGAGTAATTCTAATCCGTATATGTTTACATTCGTCGTAATCTCGATGTATTGCCAAAGTGACAAACGTAATGTGTACCCTCAGTAGACTCTTTGATATTATTCATATCATTCGCACGCTATTGGCTAGGACGTGGAAGGAAAGCCGTAATCAGCAGCATATTTATTGTTCTTTGGTTGAACTCTTCCGTTTGGTCGTTCTTGTTACCTGTCGAATGTGTTTTTTTAAATTTATTTACATACAGTCTGTCTGTCTGTCGGCCTGTCTGTTAGTTTATTTTTGTACTTTTCAATATCCCGACCTTCTTATATTGGCGGGTAAGGGGGGAGAAGCCGGGAAGTGGGGAAAAGAAGAATGACTGAGGAAAAGAATGGCGGTGGAGGAGAGGAAGAAAGAGGGGAGGATAAAAGGGGAGAGGGGGAAACCATGGAAGAGGAGAACAATGTAATGTAGAGGCAGAGGAAAGAGAAGGGGAGAAGGAGGTGGGGGGAATGGAGAAGGATCGGGGAAAAGTAGGGGTAGGGGGAGGGAAGGAGGGACGAGGAAAAGGGGGAAGGGAAAATTATCGAGAGAAAACAGTTTTTGGGACGAAGGTGTTGTTGCAACGCTGGAATTTTCCCCGGTTGCATCATCGTCGGCAGCAGCGGCGAATAAAGCCAGCAACAGCAAGAGGCCGACGGAACTGGGGAGCCTGCGTCAGTACCACGGTGGGGAGGGGGGGGGGGGGGAGGGAGGGGGGGAGGGGGATGGTGGTGGTGATAAAGATTTGTAATGGTTGATGATGGTGATGAAGGTGAGGAAGAAGATGTGGTGATGATGACGGTGATGGTGGTGATGATGATGAAGATGAAGATTGGTGATGGTGATGAAGACTGGCGATAATGATGGTGTTGGTGGTGATCAGGAGAATCAGAACGGCGACAAAGAAGAGGGGAATAAGAGGAATGAGGAGAGGACAAGAAAAGAAAGAAAGGAAGGATGAGAAGAAGGGGACCATCGACACCTGCACTTTGGCTTTGTACTCAACGTCTTGGCACTGAGAGATAAGATATTAAGAAAAAAGAGGGAACAAGGGAGCTTGTATATTTATATGCATGTGTGTATGTCTGTTGCGTGCGTGCGTGTATGTATGTATGTGTTCGTGTGTACTGTTTGTCTTTCTGGTTCTGTCTCTGGGATTCTATGCATTCGCCTTAAAAGTGTGCGTTGTGCACAGACTAGCAAGTTCCCAAGGATCGGGTGCGAGCGGTAAGACAGTTTGGGCCGGGGCGCGCTGGCACCGTTTCAAG